AAAAAAAAAAAAAAAAAAAAAAAAAAAAGAGTCAATTACTCGTATCCTTGTTCCACAAATTTAAATCATATTATCAAAAGCTGCTTTCTTCCAACTCAAGAATAAAAAAATTATATATATATATATATAATCAGCAAGCAAAATTCAAAATATATGAAGAGAAATATTAAATAAAAAATAATTTACCTCTCGGTAAAGCATATCCAATAATACGTATTTAGAGACTATAGATATACCTAAAAAATTAGTTCTAACGCGAAGGTAGAGAGAGAAATATGGAGCTGCCTAAGATTAACGCGAGGGATGTATAGTTTTTTTAGAAGGATGATGAAAATTTATAAACCAGTGGACATTTATATTACATAATGGAATTAGATCCTTGATTTATTTAGAGGAAGTTCATCTTGGTCCCTCACTTCAATTTTCATCATGTAATTCAACTGCATATTTTTTGTAATTGTGCTCAAAGATAATGATTAATCCTACATGAATGTGGAAATCGAAACTTTTTGGTCATAAAGTTCAAATGAGAGAATTCAAGAACTTTAAATTTGACTTTATGCAATCTCGAATAACTGCTGATTAAGAATTGAGGAAGTGTAGAGTTGTGCATTTTGTTGGTTATTGTGGGAATGGATGGTTTTGGTCATAATTACGGACAAAATTATAGTATTGAACCATGAATGTTAGTAGGATGATTAAATTGTAACAAATAAAGTTGGATAATTAATATGAAATAAAATCATAAGTTGGATGATTACAAAAAAAATTGCCTCTCTTTGAATGAAAACTACTTAGTACTAGTTTAACATGAATAATTCTATTTGTACCGAATTCCCTCTCACAATGCACATGGGTCCTGCTTGAATATAAAAATTTCCAAATGTGACCCCATCCCTTATTGTGTGTATTGCAGTCTAACCAACTTTAGAATGTCAACTTTAGGTATTGGTACAATAGCCTCAGATTCATATAAATATATAACACATGATATTGGCATAGTAGCCATCAACAGCTATCGACATACATAGGTATTATGTGTTCCTCAGTTAACTTTTGTAATAAGATGCAGAAACCTCATGCGATGGCTGCCACTCTAAAGTTTTATGGATGGAAAATTTTATTCAAAGGATGAACCTACTTTGTTAGCAACAATGCAATCCACTTTTCACAAAGAATTGAATTAGTTCAATTTCTTGCCATAATCCCATAATCAGGATGAAATAGTGATTCCATGTTAAGTAATTAGTCTTTTATCAAGACCAAACTGCACCCTTTTATGTTTCCCTAGATCTCCACATGATCCAATATTTTAATTTTGGCTTTGGACCAAACTGGGGTCTCGAATGGTCCAACTACTTGTTGCGAATTGGGTCAATTTCACATACTGACCTGCACAAGCTGCCTTTTAAAAGGACAGTCAGTGCATCAAGAGTGAATGTTGTCACTATTCGATAATGCTGTTTGGGTCAAATAGACCCCTCTGCACCAATGATTGTGCTACATATACACAATTATTTATATATAAATGACGTGATAAAATATCATTAGGTCAAAATTTTTAAAAGCTAAATAAAGATGCAAAATTCCCAATTGACTTCATCCAAATTGGAATGATTTTGGCAGATGGGCTTCTCAATCTATATATTTTTAAAAAAAAAAAAAAAAAAAAAAAACTCCCAATTCTCATACCACAATTGATTTTGATAATATATTTAAAAAATGAAGAGGCGCCATCATAAAAACTGCCCTAAGAAAACACATGCACTTTCAAATAGAATAGAGAATTGCATGCACCGATTAGTGATATCAAATAAATTCATGACTGATTATTGCATTTAAATAATCTAAAGTATTTTATACAAATTGTAGCAAACATTGAATTGCCATATATCGACTATGTTCTCTTGGGAAGGTTTGGTTCCATTCCGATTCGGCGGTCCATCCGGCTCTACCCACTATAAATCAGCATCCGAGTCTCTCATTTTAATCAATTTCTAGTAGAGTCAACGAATGGGCAATTAAAGACAGAAAGGTCCTTAAATACTACTTCGCAAGAAAGTTGACATACTTTCATGGAAATTGCGGGCATCCATTTAATAATATTGCAAAATCAACAATTTTTACTTATGACTCAGTTATGGCCGAGACATTATAAAATAAAAAATAAAAAAACAATGCGGAAATGCCAAATGAGAAGACGAAGTGAACAAGCACCTCACCACATGCACTTGTTTGTGGATAAATGTGAAAAAATGCCATTTAAATAAATAAAATCCACCACATAAGGAATTTAAAAGGAAAGAATTAATATGTACCATTGTAAATTAACCAAAAAAGAAAACGGAATTCTACAAATGTGAATATTATTTACTGAAATTAAATCACATATGTAATCCATATTTAATTCAAATTTCTCTACTTAATACAAACACTTTATTTTGATACAATTTCAGCTCAATTCCACTTGTTCAGCATAATTTTACTATTTTGGCTCAAATTACCCCTTACAAATCATCAATTAAGTTGATAAAATTAATCTAGTCATTTTTTGACATCAACAAAAAATTTAAAGGAATAACTTTTCTAATGTAATTTGAAAATCTAAATAATATCAACTACATTTGTAAGGAATTTTAAACAATCTTGTGGGCTTATATGTGTAAATTGTTGTGTATTAAATTAAAGGCTATCGAATTCAGTTGAGCACATTTAAAGTGATCTAATAAGGCTTCGATTTTGGACTGTTATGCATCTAATTAAAGTGTGGGTTCATATATGTGTAGAGACCGGGCCCAAATTCCTAATTCTATGATGGGCCGATTTAGGTCAAAAAGGCGTATATATAAAAATGGTTATGATCCCCGAATCACACGTAATGAGAGTACGTATTTGTTCATTCTCTTCTGCATCATATCATAGAGAGAAAATAATATTACGTGTAGATTTGGAAGACTAAGCTACAGGATTCGATTATTGCATCAACCATTCTGATTCAGGTACGCTTCCGCTATAGATCTCGAATTTCTTGATGATCCAACATGAAGATTATGTGATTTTAAAGGTAAAAAAATATTCTACAAGCGGTATCAGAGCCTTTCATGTTGAATCATTGAGAATCAAATAATTTATTTGGTTCTTGCAATATATTTTATTGAGTTTTCAGATTGACAATTTTGAATTTATATTGTTGAATTTGAACACTTTTGCGGTATATTGTTACTTATTGTGTTTTATAATTTGGATTAATGGTTAAGGAATTTTCAGATTATATGAATTAGTTGAGGAATTTCAGATTATGGATTCTTTGGTTTTGGATTTAGATTTAAGGTTGCAGATTTATGAAGTTAAAAAAAAAATAAAAAAAATTTCTGCTGGGTAGCAATGTCGGCATTGCCAAGACAGAGAGGAAGAGAAATTTTTCCTAGGGTTTTCAAATTGGTTCGGATGATTTTGGGGGCGGGAGCTTGTCTTGCAAATTAGGTAACTTGAAGCCCTTTGCTTGCAATTAGGGTTAGTATTTTAATTTAAGGTTCCAGTCCCTAACATTTTAAAGTACATCCAAATTGGGTCTTTAAGTTTTGGATTTAATAATTCAGATCGTAAAGTTTAAAAATTAATTAATTCGGGCCATTAAAGTTCTGGATTTTATAATTAAAGCCCTCAAACTTTAATAATTAATTCAAATTGGCCCCTAAAGTTGTAAATTTGCTCTAATTGATCCTCTAAAGTTTTGAATTAATTAATTTTGTCCTTAAAGTTTCAAATTTATTAATTTCAACCGCTAAAGTTTGGAATTAATTAATTTTGCCCCCCTTAAATTTTTGAATTATTAATCCTAAGACCCATAAAGTTTAAAACTAAATAATATATACAAAATTGGTGATTCTCTTTCTCAAATTTTGGTACTAAGGACTCTTTTAACAGATATAATGTTTGAAAGTTAGTTAATTGAAGCAACATGTTGCCGAAGCAACATGTTGCCGAAGCAACATGTTGCCAAAGCAACATATTGTCAAAGAAACCTCTCTTATGGAAATTGACTAACTTAAAATATTAAAATATGTTTGTGCGTGTGTTAATCATGGGAATATTGATTGGCCCAAAGGAAGGTCAATATTTAGTTGAATACACGTGCACCTGTGGTTATAAACATGTGACGATTTTTTGGTTTGGTGTGTAATCAATAAATCGATCCAAAAAAAGGTTTATTGATTGACACATTGTTTTATTGTCAATGTTTGATCATTACGCCAAGAGTACCATTCACAAATCAATATTTCTGTCCAAAGACTAGATACTGATATTGTGTTAAATATCTTGTGATGGGCCTACCACTATTTAAGATTATTATTATTTTCATATTAAAGATATTCGTGTGAGCTATTCGTAGTAACCATTCTCTAATTCAGTTTCAGGTTC